GGCTTGGCTGTGGGTAGATGACCTTCCACCCAAGGTGCTACAAAGATTTGGGAGGGGGGCTTTAATGTTGCTTTTTCCTTCTCCCTGACCCAAGCAGCAACACAAGATGTGCTGGATGGAGAGTCCTGGCTCAGAGGTTCAGCCCTGGTGCTCAGAGCTTGGGGGTAGCAGTGGGAGGATGTTGGAAATGTGGGGGGCAGGCAGCTGGAGGGAGATGGTGAGGTGGAGGCAATGTCAGGAAATGCCCAAACTGCTGCCCTGGGCTGTCCCCATTGGGGTAGAGAGTTTGGGAAACATGTCTAGGAGGGGATGGAGTGTGAAAAACATAGAACAGCTTCTGTCCTGCACTGCAGGATCAGCAGGAGATGGTCCAAGTAGCTGTAATGTGAGCAATAACAAGGTTAAAGACCAAAAATACATCTAAAAATGCCTGTCACCTCGTGGTGACTTCTTAGCCCATACTGCCCTCAGCCAGCCTTGAGCTGATACTGCTGCCCAGCAGCCTCCCCAGGCCCTCCAGCCTGATCCCTGCACCCACGTCCCCAAGTGCCTGTGGGTCATCAGCACCTTTTGGAGGGAGATGGGGATGACTGCAAAGCTGTGAGTAGATTTTAGGGGCAGTTTCAAAGCAAGGAGAGAGGAAGATTCACCTGTGTCCTCTTTGTCACTTGAGAGGGCTGGAAGGGAGGTGATGTTACACCGTTAAAAAAAATTACTGTGCCAAGGACTAAAATGTTCACACAGCACTTTAGGGGCTTAGGGCTGCATGCAGCTTGCTTGATGTCCAGGCACAGGGTCTACCTGGAGGAGTTATGGTCCTGAAAACCTCCCCAGAATAGGGTCACGCAGCCTGCAGTGTCCCTGAGGGATGTCCCTGAGGGGGCTGCCATGGTTTTGATGCTTGGGGTGGTGGGCACAGTCCCAGCTGAGGGCATCCATCACCTCCAGGAGTGGTGGCAGGGCAAGATGGGCTTCTGTGGAGGCTGAGCACTGGCAGGGAGGAGGTTTCGGGGCCAGAGGAGTGGAGGACAAGGAAGGTAAGGCTTGGCTGATAGACCCGTTTGGCATTGCAAAGCAGGATCTCTTGGGAGCGCGTGCACCGTGTGGGTGCATCTGCTGGATTCCAAACTCTGGCCATCTGATGAGCAGGATAGGACATCTCTAGGGACAGCATTTGATAAGCTCCTCAGGTATCTGGGGATTTCTGGTGAGATGACTCGGGGTGCTCAGCATGTACTGGGAGGCTGCGGGTTTTTGGGCACGCTTGGTGCTTTCAGGGCTGTTGGTGCTGGGGCAGAGCATTGCACTGGTGTGACTGCAAGAAACTTGAGGTCAGGGCATCTTGGAGGAGTTCACTTCAGTGTGCAAGGTTCCCTCAGCTTTTGCTGGTCTGGTGTGGATTGCAGCAGGGGAGAGGATGAGGCACACGCATTGATTGAAATGAGGGGAGTCTCCTGCTCTGCAGAGATTCCAAACCCACCTGGACACGATCCTGGGCACCCTGCTCTGGGTGAACCTGCTGGACCATGCTGGGATTCTGTGAGTGGACAGATAGAGGGATGCCTGGGAAGAGCTGCAGTAGGGTGTCCCAGTCTGAGGCGTGCAGGTCCTTGGGATCACTGGGGTGCTGTGGGTGTGATACAGGATGGGATTCACCCCTCTGACTTCCAACACCAGCATCGTGCCCCTGGCCAGCCAAGCCACCAGCACTGCCCTCCACCAGAGTGCCAGCATTTGGTTTTTTTTTTTGAGCATTCAGCCCCTTGCCCCATAACCTTGGAAGCAGTGAGTGAACACAGAACCTTCCCCCCCTTCAAAAATGAGCTGCAGCATCTCCGGGGCTTGGTATAAGTGCGTGCTCACTTCTTCCTCCCAAATTCTCTGCTGCACCCTTCCCTTCGGTGCTGTCCTGGCCATTAGTGCTTCATTGCAGTAAGAATATTTGCAGTGGTTCCTTGCTGTACCTCCTTGGAGAGCTGTGGCTCAGGACTGGCCCAGCCCCATTGCACCCCCAGACAGAGTTCCCAAAGGGGAGAGGGGGAGCTTTGGGGCAAGGGGCCCACATTGCAGGTGCTAACCCCCACCTCTAGCCTAAAGAGGCGGGTGAGATTTAAAGCAGGGGGAGATCACCCCCCCCCAGCTCTGCCACAGGTGGATGATGCTGCAGGGCTGGGACCTGGTGCTGGGGATGTATTCCAGGAGAGCTCAAGAGGGACCTTGGGCGGGCTGAGGTTGGGTCGTTTCTTGCCATAGAGGGAAAGCTGTGGCATGGGGACGTAGCAATGTGATGGCCCAGCTGCCAGCAGGGGCTTGGTCCCTGTCCCCAGGAGGAGAGGGTGCGTCTGGTCCCCCGTGTCCTCTTCTTGTGATGTAACCTTGTCCAGTGTTACCATGTTGTATAAAGTTGTACATATGAGATTCAGAGCTTTTTAACTTTTAATATTTATTAATTTTGTTGGGTTCTTTTTTTTCTTTTTTTTTTTTTGAACTCTAACATAATGTAAAAAAAAAAAAAATTAAATACACACCAAAATCTCTTTCTGTTGATTTCTTTTGGTGATGTGTGTGTGAGGGGGGGAAACATGAATGTGACCTCTGTGTGTGTGGTTGTTGAAGTGGTTTTCGCATAGCAAGCCACCACCTCTGTATCTCATTTCAACCCAGCCAGTTTCACTTACTTGTTTTGAGATGTGGTGTTTATTTTTTTCCACCTTAAATATGCAAAAGTCTCATTAAATCTCTGGATGTATAAATTACAAGCACCCTGCAATCCCTGGAAATGTTCCAGGTGAGGTTGGACTGGGCTCTGAGCAACCTGCTGTAGTTGAAGGTGTCCCTGCTCACTGCAGGGGGGGTTAGACTAGAAGACCTTTCAAGTTCCCTTCCAACCCAGGGCGGTCTGTGATTCTATGCAATGGCTGGAATAACATCTCCTGAAACCCAGCTCCTCAACTTCACTCTTGCAAGGCTTGTTTCTGCTTGTGGTTGGCAGCAGCTCTATGGCACAAGGTGCTTGTTCCCAGGGTGCAGGATAATGTTGGAATCACTGAACCAGCTATTGCTGGGATGACTGGTGAGCTCCTGGGGATCCTCCAAAGACAAAACCCCCTGGGGGTTTTATCAGCTCTGCAGTGACAAGCTCCCATAGATGCATGGTCCTAAGGGGCACGATGCTGCATTATGGGGCCATGGGTCTGAGTCTGCTGCTGCCTGTCTCCATTAGCTGCTTTCTCACCTTGCCACCCCATCTCATGTTGCAGTACCCAAAGTGAATTGGAACTGATGGAGAAAAGCACATTTCTGACCTGAGACATGGCACAGACCTGCTCTGGCTGTGGCTGCTGCTGTTGGCAGAGGAGAAAAACCTCTGTGCATATAGAATCGTAGAAGTGTTTGGGTTAGAAGAGACCTTTAAGATCATTGAGTCTGACCATTAACCTACCTCCACCAAGTCCACCACTAAACCATGTCCCTTAGCACCACATCTACATGACTTTCAAACATATCCAGGTATGATGACTCAACCACTGCCCTGGGCAGCCTGTTCCAGGGCTTGACAACCCTTTTGGAGAAGAAATTTCTTCTGATAATCCAACCTAAACCTCTTCTGGTGCAACTTGAGGCTGTCCTCTTGTCCTATCTTGTAAATATGTACACATAAATACAGGTTAGCAAAAATAAATAGAGATGTATTACTTGTTCAGGCCAAAAGAGCCCCTGAGCTTGTGCACTGACAATTCATACCATGGTCAGGTAATAAACAATGAAACCAGGGCAGGGCTGAAGCTGCAGAACAACCCACACTGTGGGCAGTGCTGCCCAACGCTGGGATGTGTTTTGGCACCTTTCCCCATACCCTGATGGGGAGGACTGATGCCAAACACCAGCTATTGTTGCTGCTCACAGGTGAGGTTTAGGCAAGGGCTTCTAAGCAACCTCCTAATCCGAGGTGTGGTGCTACCTCAGTCACCCTGGCTTGTGGATGCTCAGCTCCACCCCTGAAGTGGAAGGGTGGTGCTTGGTGAAGGGCCTCTTCCACAGCTGAGCTTGCTTGGTGGTTGCACCATCTCGCCCCATCGTTGGTGGCTGTGGCTGCTCAGCCACAGTGGCCACGAGCAGAGGCAGGAGCAGGTCTCCAGCTCAGGCTGTGTCCCTCGTGCTCGAGCAGAGCCCGTCCTCCTACAGCTCAGGGGTGCGTGGTGGCAGAGAGGTGCTGGCAGAGGTGCTTGATGAAGTCTGCTTGGCACTGCGGCAGGATGCGGTTAATGACAGACGTGGGGATCCAGCCCTGGGGGAGAGAAAACACCCCGAATTTGGTCCCACTGAGGCACCCATCCCGGGGAGGAGGGTGCATTTGCACCCCGGGAGGCAGCCCTTTGTTGCCCCACCCCACATAACACGGTGGTGGCACTTGCCTTCAGGTCCATGCTGAGGAGCCAGGTGAAGCGGGTACGGCCGGGGGCCCCCGCCAGCGGCTGGAGGG